TTTTTTTTTTTTACATCCTGCTTCCCAGATCTTGGTGGAGAAATTAGGATGCGCACACTGATGCACCGATCTCACATCTCCTTTATGTCTGCTGGACTTATGTCAGCAGCCATGGTCTGCATTTCAGTTGCCCGCTTGCATAAACTCATTTCTGATGGGCCCTGTTGAGTTGTTTTTTTCCTGAGGCAGGTGTCCCACCTCAGATTTGTTTTTATTTCTCCATTTAAAGCGTGCAATCTGCAAAATGTATTTCGAAAACGGGCAAATGCAGACTGAAATGTCTTTTGCTCCACTTTGTCACTGCTGTTCCTATAATTATTATCCTATAACATGTTTTTGTATTTGTATTTTTTTTATGCTTGCAATTTGTGTATTCACATAGTATATTATATATGTAATTGCAAGTTACAACTGGGGAAAATGTATATGATGGTAATGCTAGAACCTGGTCTAACTAAATAAACATTTTTGAATTCTGAAACAGTGTTTCTTTTCTTTCTATTTGAAATATACTGATATGCATCCTTTCTGTAATTTGAACCTAGGCTTGAATGCATACAACACGGAAATGTAGAACTTGTGTTAACTGTAGTGACACAACTACAACAGCAGAGGGCACTTTAAGGTATTTTAGAGTTGGAACAATTGTAAGAGAACGTAGATCATAAACCGGGTGTTTTCAGTCTTTTTATGATGCCAAGGCCCCCAAAATATAATGATGATTCAAAAAATGAAAATCTAAAAGCAGTCATATATTTTAATATATAAAGCATAAATTTTTTTTTTTTAATATATATATATAGTTCCTGCCACCCAAAGGTTTGGATTAAGAAGTTTTTGAAGCTTTTGTCTCTTATGCTCACCAAGGCTGCATTTATTTGATCAAAAATACAGTAAAAACTGTGATGTTTTTAAATATTATTTCAATTAAAAATAATTATTTTCTATTTGAATAAATAGTTATTGAAATATTATTTCAATTTAAAATTGTTTTCTATTTGAATGAAAATGTAATGTCAATTTTGATCAATTTAATAAAGTGTACTTCATTTATCCAGGAAAATAAACTTTCTGTGATTAAACATTTAGATTAGCCTCTTTTTCAGAAGTGTCCTGGACTTATTGCCTCCTTGCTGAATACAAATATTAATTTCTTAATTTATAATTTTGTTATCCCAAACCTTTGAATGTGTATCATGGTTTCCACAAAAATATTAAGCAGCAAAAACACAATTTCAACATAGATGATTATAAGAAATGTTTGTTGAGCAGTGAATCAGCATATTAGAATGATTTCTGAAGGATCATGTGACACTGAAGACTGGAGTAATGATGCTGAAAATTCAGTTTTGCATCACAGGAATAAATTACATTTTAAAATATACTCAAATAGAAAACTGTTTATTTTAAATTGTAATCATATTTGACAGTATTACTGTTTTTACTGTATATATCAAATATTTCATACACTCTAAAAAAATGCTGGGTTAAATACAACCCAGCGCTGGGTAAAATATGGACGCTGGGGTTGTCCATATTTTACCGCTAGGTTGTATTTAACCCAGCATTTTTTAGAGTGTATATATATATATATATATAT